GACGCACGACCAGTTCTAGCCTGGCCGCTTATCCGTTAACCCACTTGGCTCACCCTGATTGCCTCTCTGCTTTATCACCTTGTCAACTCTCTCCAGGGATTCGAGCAAGCCAACAAGTACGCCATCGTGGACGCATCGGGCAACCACGTGGGATACATTGCCGAGTCCGAATCGCTTGGCAACACCATCACCCGTCAGCTCTTTCGCACCCACCGTGCCTTCAAAGCCTCCATCTTGGACAAGGAGGGCAACCTAGTGCTAGAGGTAAGCTATGCACCGCTTCTATGAAGGATGACCGGCTCAGGTACGCGATAGCCCCTACATGCACAGTTATGGGCGGTCATTATAACCTGGCCGTAAACCAAATACTTAATTCTCACTTTTCCCTGGCTTATTTCCATTTCCCACTCTGCTGTTCATGACAAAATTAGATCCATCGTCCCTTCTCTTGGATCAATAGCCGCATCTACATCAAGACCCCCACAGGGGAGGTAATCGGTGAGGTCCACCAAGAGTGGCACCTGTGGAAGCGGCGCTATGATCTGTTTGTGCGTGGAGACCAATTTGCGCGAATCGACGGCGGGTTTCTAACCTGGGACTTTGACATGGTCGACGCTGACGGGGCCCGGGTGAGTTCGATTAACCGCAACTTTTCGGGGTTCGCGCGCGAGATCTTCACCGATACAGGCCAGTACGTACTTCGCCTGGACGCTGCCAGCACCGACCAGGTGGAAGGAGGCCGAGGTCTGACCCTTGACGAACGCGCGGTGGCCCTGGCCTGCGCCGTCACCATCGATATAGATTACTTCTCGCGCCATTCGGGCCACGGTGGCGGTGGCTTCATGCCCTTCCCCATGTTTTTTCCCGGAATGGGTGGTGGTGGTGGCGAGGCTGCCGAACAGGGCACCGAAGCCGGCGGGGCACCTGACACGACCTCATCACCTGGAGCCACCGGTGCACCCCCGCCGCATCCAGATGGCTACGGTGTGGAGTCACCTCCAGATGACCCCTTTCTCGATGATCCTGCCGATGGTGACGACGGTGGTTTCTTTGACGGGGATGATTGGTGAAAAGTATGTGGTTGCTCGCGAGTGCGGCTAACTTATTCTCCCCATTCTACTGCATCTAACAAACACCTTAGATATTGAGCCCGTGTTCGTGTAATCATCACACCGATTACCAATATCTCAACAGCCTGTCAGATAATTAAACGGTATAATACAATATATCGATGGGATTCACAATACTGCACCTGGGAACATTGTTGAGTAAAAGGAAGGGAGTCTTCACGTTAGAGGTCATACTAATCAGTGTTATCGAGGCTTGTAAAGTGCCACGTCAGGCAGCTTTGGGACTAGACGGGCGCATAAACTCCCAATCAAGGGACCGGGTCACAACCTCAGAGTGATTTGGCCAGCCGATATCGCCACACCAACGAGTCCAGCGGCAGGGTCCGTTTTCACTCTCGGCACCAATATCCTTGGTGGAGAGGTGAAAGTGAGACAGGTCGAACGACCCACCATCGTCCTCTCCTACTCGGTGTCCTGCTGCGCCCACCCAGCCATCTCTAAGCAGCTCATCGTCCCACTGGACAGGGGAAAGAAGTAGGGCGGCGCCATAGCGATTGCCAGGTCACCCACCACTGTCAATTCGTCAGTATGGCGCGTGCTTGTCGGGTATCTGTTGCCCTCACCCAGCAGGATGTGGCCATCAGACTATTTAGACTTCCCACTATGGCAGCCCATAGCGTACACCTTTTGCTCAGCTCAGCTCAGCTCAACTTCCACTGTCTTCTCCAGTCGTACTACACCTACCCAACCCATTCCCTAACCAATTGGAAAGCCTTTCAACATGTCGCCTCACGCTACCGACGTTGCCAACTACAAGTTTGTAAGTAACTGACTGGCACTTCTTACAGCCCACTCTGTTGCTTGCCCGAATCGCGTGCGTCGTGCCGGGAACCCGCGGCAGACAAAGGCATAGAGAAACTCTGCCCCATTCTGGCGGGTGGACTGGCTCCAGCCTCGCGCAGCTGTAGACACACGGCCTGGGGGCGAACTCTCCCTTTTTACTCATCACCTTCCCGATATCGTGGCCCTGGACGCTCCGCCTCTGTAGAACCACACTAACTACCGGGTCAAGGACCCTAAGGCCTCGGTCGATTTCTACACCAAATGCTTGGGAATGACGTAAGTATTATCGCAATCCAATCAGCACCCTGAATGGTCTACCATACCGTAACGCCCTCTCAGTTCGACCAGGACTCCGTCACCCTACGTGATAGGTATGCACTAATAATACCTTTCGCTCTTTTCCTCCCCGCACGCTTTGCTTCCTAGCTTGCTGGGTACTCTTGAAGCATCCGATGCCAAGTTCACCTTGTACTTCCTGGGCTACTCCAAGGAGGCCCCGCCCAGCGGCGATCAGCTCAAGCTTGACCTCAAGTCGAACGTGTTTGGCCGCGAGGCCGTGTTGGAACTCACCCACAATTGGGGGACCGAGGATGACCCCAACTTTAAGGGCTACCACACCGGCAACTCCGATCCTCAGGGCTACGGCCATATCGCCATCGCTGTAGACAACCTTGACGCTGCGACCGACCGTCTGACCGACCTCGGCGTGACCTTCAAGAAGCGCCCCAACGAAGGGAAGATGAAGGGTATTGCCTTCATCCAGGATCCCGACGGTTACCTGGTCGAGCTGGTGTCCGATCCGCACTTTGCCAATTAAGTATGCCTGTACGAGCTGCTCGGCCTTTAGTTTAGCCTTATTTTAGCCACTTCTGTGCCCCTTAGGTCTATTTGGCCTACGTGGCAGAGGCATGGTGCAGACTGCCGTTAACAAGTAAAATATAACCAAACGGATTAACTAATGCGGGAGGGGGGAGGCACTGTGGTGCCCATCCCTGTGTAAGCCATATTAACGGGACCGAGTGGTGTGGGGTTTAGCATATAATTCAAAGTAGACCTATATTTATTCGGAGCAAGGCCCTTCAGGCCACTATCGATCGACTGGTTAACGAATAAAAGTCCACATTGTGCAAGGATTCTGTTTCGCCGTCATGGCATGGGTTTTGATGCAAAGGAGGTATAGCAACCGAGGTGACCTAAAAGTATGGCGCCACCTGGACTCCGGCCGAATCGCAGACGCCAGCAATACACCTAACACTTGGTGATGATTTGATCCTGCGAACAGCCGTGGCATTCCCCATCGAAGTGGCGGTCTTGGGTGCACACGTGGCAAGTGGAGCCCCAGAAGTGAGACTCCGGACAGGGGTTACAGCGTCCGTTGTAGAAGTAGGGTTCGGTACAAACGCGGCAGCCCCCCAGAATGAAAAATTCCTGCGGACACTCGTGACACGCCCCGCCAAAGAAGTAGGCAGGATCACACGTGTAGCACTGGCCTGGGCGACAGACCTGCCGAGCGAAGACCGAGCCTGGGATGTTGTCGACGCTGGGCGCGGCGGAGACGGCGGGCAGAGAGCCGGCGAAAGCAGCGATGAGGGTGGTGGCAATCAGGGTGGTCTTCATGGTGACGAAGGAGGGGGGATTTGTTCAGTTGAAGGTAGGTGGCGGAGGCTGAAACCGACGGAGAGATATGAAGACGAGTGGTGCTGATATGGTAGAATATAGCCGACTGGTTCGCCATTTTATATGACCGTGCCCCTCCTCCTCCTTCCCCCTCTCTTACGCCCCTGGGAAGTCCCTAAGGATAATAGCGGTCGTCGGTCTTGGTAAGAGGGCACACCTATCAAAGTATCAATAATCACTGCGTCAAACAAACTACGGTGCCGAATAATAGGCTGCAACGGGCCAGGAACAGAGGCAACCGTATGAGGAGTAGAGAAACCACCACAAGCCGCTCCGGTAGTAAGTCGGCAGCCTGCCTACGAGGACAACCCCTGATGGGGACATGCGTCCCCGGAATTGACTTCGATACGGTTAAGCGATAGCTAAGAATAGGATATCGTTCTGTGGATGTCCCGAAAACGTCCTGACTGTATGGTGAGCTTGTAGTGATCGCCGCGGTCCGAGGCCTGGCGGTCGGCAGCTTGCCTTTGATGCCACGGCAAGCTCTACCAGTGGCAGGAGTAGTGGCAGCACCGTAAGTTACTACATTCTACTGTGGGTAAATTGCAAAATGGATTTACATTGAATGACAAGACGCTAGTGCTGGGTAGTCTTATTAATTATTATTATCATTACTATGGTATCGATGATGATTCCAGATGCGGTGCCCATACATGGAGGACTGACACCCACTGGCCAGGTAGACCGACCGGGAAGGGTATACTGAGGCAAAGAAGTAAATAGGCCGCCCGGAGGTGGCCAGTGCTACGCACTGTCAAGCTAATACAAGAAACTAGGCGATATAAACGGAGCAGGAAGCATGGGGGAGGTCAGAGGTCCGAGTGGATATAGGATACTAAGTGGTGAAGTTCGAGGTCGAGTGTATATCGCCGGCGGTGGCATGGAAGATTCGACAACCGCTGGCGGGTGGTGGCTTGACAAGGCTGCGGACTGATGCGTCCTTGTATGGGCGGCACACTCGGTTACACCGACGAAGTCCCGCCTGTCGGCGATGTGCCTGATTTATGCTCGACTTCCGTTGTATTTTCCTGAGAGGCCCTGTTGGAGCTTATCTACTATTTAGACACCGCTGAGGATACCGATGCCAGGGGCCTTGACATAAGCGCTAATCGCTAGGGCTATACCCACACTGCCATCTCCGTAGATAACGTGGACGCCGCGGTGACTCAATTTACCGATCTCGGAACGGTCATCACAACGCATCCCACTGAGCGTTCTCCATATCTCGCTCGGGCTCAAGAACCTGATGGCTACAAGATTGAGCTGGCGATTTATCTGAGCTTCCCAGTTGTAACCACCGCTACTATGCGCTATTGAATGGCAGTCCGCCCTCTGCAAGTCGGCCTAACCAGTTGCTCTACACATTGTCTACTCTATCAATTTAACGACGCCCTAGCTGAAAAAGGTGGCTGTCAGCTGCGGGAATCGAACCCACGAGGGGATTTAGCCCCATTGGTTACCCTCACGGTCCGTGGTCAGGATCGTCGATAGAAGACCAACGCCTTAACCACTCGGCCAAACTGACTCGCCACCCAAGGTTCTGGAGGCCCTAGAACTACGCTTATACTTCCAGGTACATAGCCATCATGCTTCATTATGGCACTGCAAGTGATCAACTATATGGACATTGGTATATATACGTGTGGGTGTTAAGGGGATATACAAGTGATGATTCGATGATGACATTAAACAAGGGTCATAAAAAAATGGTATTGACCTCCCTAGGTGGGCGACGGATAAAAAAAAGAATAGAGTCGATAGCGCATTACAGAGAATGAGGGTGATCCAACTCAAATTAACAGCCTAGTTAAACACTAGAAAAGCGAGAAGCAGAATTATAAAACACAAGGAAGTCAACTAAGATTTCTGTAATGAGGCTACCGCGATCCGCTAGTCACCACCAAAGAGTAAGGTGGTGGGGGCGGGGTTAGTCCAAACACCGGCGGGGACACGGTCGCGGACGATTCCGTGACCGACAGTTGCTGGTCAAGACTGCTTTGCTCAGGCGTGGAGAGCGAGGCCCGACGGGAAATGGCGGGCGACCCGGGATGGCTGGTGGCGACGAACCGGTGGTGCATGAGGTCGCTAAAATCGCCGGCGGAAGGAACGGTCTGTAGTAGGCCGGCGCTTGCTCCAGTGAACCGGGAAGCCACGTAGGGTACAGCTGAAGCGGCGGGTGAATCGACGTCACCGACCGAGGTACCCACGAGTAAGGTATGGTCAGGGTCGGCGCGGATGTATGGCGGCAGGGTGGCGGCCTCTTCAAAGTCACCGTGCATAATGCACACCGGAGCGGCGATATAAATGTGGTGGACCTTGCGATTATGGTCGCGCAGTTTGATGAGGACCTTGAGTTTGTGCGAAATCTCCATGAAGTTGGTCGATGCATCGTACTGGACCTCGCGGTAGGCCTGGGGCACCTTGAGCGCGATCTCGGCGCGGAGAGCACCGGTCTCATCGTACACGTCGTCCGTGTTAGCTCCTTCACGGGTGGCCGACGGAGGCTGGAAGTGCTTGTCGACACGAGTGATAACCTGATTCAGCCGGCGCACGGAGAACCGGTCTGAGGTGGTGTATCGCACGTACTCCTTGAGCAGGGCCGACGCGGCCAGGACGCGCACGCCCTTGGTCTGCGGGGTGAAGTTGAGGGACAGCGGAATGGTGGTACCATCTGAATAAATTTTGGAAGGCGCGTTGATCTGGTACGTGATGTAGGGTTCCCAGCTGTCCTCAATTACCAGGGACTGCAGCCACTCGGTGCTGGAGGGAAGGGGCTGGCGCTTGACGGGAAGTACGGTCTCATGGACCATGTTCATGTGGAAAGTCGTGCGCTCCACGACCGCCTTGAGCTTGTAGGTTACGTGCCCGTGCTCGGTGTGGGTCGTCTCCGGGAGATCGCCAGGGATGACCAGGTCAAAGTCGTAGACGTACTCGCCAGGTCCAAACGGGTGGGCGTGGTTCTTCTTTTGTTTGGTTGCTGAAGAGAGGGACGGGGAAGCGGACGGGGAGGCGACAGGGGTCGTTGCGGAATCCAGGAACGACCACTCGTGGTCAATCAGGTCGCGCTTCTCCCGGAACAGGGACTGGTGGTTGCCGAACCCTTCAGACCAAAATACATGCTCGCGGCCCTTCAGGCGCAGGTTGATACTCTTGATCTTGATGGTGTCGTGGAGGCGCAGGACAAGTTGGCCACGCAGGAGACTACCGGCGGCTTCATCTGCGTTACCGCGAATGACGAGCGGGTTGTCAAACACGACAATCTCAACCGCTGGGGCAGGTTTCATTGGCAGTAGGTGGTAGAAAGAGGCGGGCCGCGATGTAGAAGTGGGAAGCTGGGAGGCGGTGGAGCACCGACGGAGCGGGTGGGTGTCAGCGGCAGACGGGCCGACGGAAGGTGACGACGAGGAAGGGGAAGGGGAAGAACGCTCGCAGTCGTCGTCGGTGACGCTAAGGGTGGGAATGGCCTCAGCGGTCTCCAACCGGGCGGGGTGGAGGCGGCTGAGTAGGGAGGGGGTGGGATCGATGACGTTAGCTGAGGACCAGCGCGCAGGGGCCAGGCCGCCGGGTGAAGTGTAGACGGAAACCGGGCGGGAAGCCGGAGGCGTGTGGGACGGGCTAGTGAAAGCGGACAGGGGCGGGGCAAAGTAGCCGTCCAGGGTCGCGGTCGGCAGGGGCAACGGGCCGTTTGGAGAAGGGATGTGGTGGGGGGACGAAACGGCCTCGCAGGACGACGCGCGAGGGGAGGAGGAGCAGGAAGAGGCTGCGGGAGTATGTGTCACAGGGTAGCGGTGGCACGAGCCGGGTATGAAGTTCCGGTAGGCGTCGATAGTAGACAGGCGCGAGGCAAGAAGTGCGGGCGGGGAAGGGTCGCGGGGCAAATAACCGTGGCGGAAGTCGGGTTTAAATAAGCGGTCGTGGAACCACTGCGATAGGTTGTGACCGGCCTTGGTCAGCGACGAAGAGGGGGGAGCAGAGGTGCCCAAGGTGGCCGAATAGGAGGGCGGTGCTCGGCGATCGGGCGAAGCGAGGCGAGACATGATGCAGGCGGAGAAAATAGACTGCTGCGCGCAAGGGTGAGGCGAGGAAAAAAAATCAAAGATTGGACAACAAATGGGGAGGCAAGAACGGCTGAGCAGAGGAGGGGCAAAGACTTTTGGGCACCGAGCTGGCGAATCAGGGGTGTGGATTTTGGCCAACGCGCCAATGGTAGCGGGTGCGGACCGGAAAGAAGTTGAGACGCCGGGAACGCGGCCGAGGTGTAAACGCGGCACCGAGGAGGGGATTGGGTGAAGTGGCGTGAAGTTTAAAAGAAAAAAACGGAGGCGGAAGAATAACCGGTTTAGCGGTACCTCCGAGGACAAGGTCTGGGGGGTGACAATCAGTGCGGGGCCAAGAGGGTAGCGGCAAAGACCTTGACAACCGTGGGCATAGTTTGGATGGGCCGACGAATAGGAAAGGACGAAAGCCAACCGAGGTCCGGAGGAGGAGGAGATTAAATGGCACTGTAGGCTTGGGCTAGGGTGCTAATGGCCGGACAGGCGGACACAAACAACGGATTGCGGCGGCTGTGACTGTGAAATTAGATAGATTCGTGTGGAGGCGGGTAAAAATAGAGACGAACCGGATACTGGTGCGGTAGTGAAGATCCAATCGTAATGACGGGCGGGCAACGGCCGAATTGGGTGAACGTGGGGGTAGCGGTTGGCTGGTGGGTGCAGGCGAAGTTGGTGGGTGGAATGGGGTGGGTGATTAGTTGATCGTCTCACTATAGGCGGCAGGGCAGGAGGGGCGAGAAGGATCTGCGACGCTACATAATAAGGCGTGGGTTAAATGAGATTGGAGGGAGGGTATACGAAGTAAAGATGGAGAGACCAGACAACGACCGCGATTTTTAAATCCCTTGGCCTACGGGGTGTGACATAGACTCGTCACGCAAATGCGACGATGGAAAATTCGCCACAGCCTGTGGGTCGCCGCAGGGTAGACGGGGAAGGGGCTGCTAAGTACGCCACCGCACCAAGTAATCGGGTTGGATCGACCTGAGCGGACCGGACCCACCGCTTCGTAACACCCCACTCCATTCTTAACCCTGGAGGCCGGGTAGCCATCAACAAAGAAAAACCTCCGGAGGCCAGACCTGACACCAATACCGACACCTCCGTCGGATGCAGCTCGATCACAAGTGCTCTGCTGCAGGCAAAGGGGAGGGGGGTAAGAATCTGGTTCAAAAGCGACGGACCAACGGGCCGGTCAACCCCAACTCAGCATTCCAAGCCAGCCCAGCCGTTGCACACTGGATTGTGCGTACCGCTGGAGGATGAGAACGGAATGTGTCAACTCACCGGCCCCACGGCAGACCACGTCAGGGGAAGGGAACAAAGACCTAGTTTACGCATCAAGGAAAATGGTACCGCCGTCGCAACCCACTTGCCCATGCAGGTACCTAATATAGTATAGGCTGCGTAAGGGGTACCCAGCCCCAGAGCACTTTAGAGAAAAAATAAATAGCCATTATTAGCCTTGCAGGCATAGGGTGATAGCAATGAGGAAAAGAAGAATGGTGTCACTAAAGGACTGGTTAGATCGTAAACTTACCGATAATGGCTGTGGTGGCCGCTGTGGTTGTGCACCTAACGATGTCAGAGTGCGTACGTGAAGGATGGAGCAGGTGATGTAGGGCCTGGCAGGTATCGCTACGGTCAGGGGAGGGGCCTGATAAGGAGGCCAGCGGTCCAAGGTAACGGTGAGGGGTCAGGGGCTATTGAGGTTAGCCTACCAAATCTACAAGCTAAGGTGTATGCAAAAGAAACAACAGTTGGTGTTGAGGTAGGGCGAGAAAGGTGCGAAGTGTGAGCAATAGGTGACCATGAATTATATGCAACTGTAAAACAGCCAACGACAAGGGACATTGGAGATATAATGCTACAAAATAAAAATCAGGCTGCAATAATAACGTTCATCGATGTAGGGGAATTGGGTAAAGCCTAGAGCTGGCCGAGAGGTTGGTAACTAAAAGTGAGTAAAAATAGAGTGAAGGAGGAAGCAGGTTGACTGGTTATATAGGTGAAGGGAGGTATTTTGATTGTTCAAGGAATGTTAGGAGGACAAGGCGAAATGGAATGAACGGGTGAGAACGAGAGTAAGGCTGCGGAGCACGAAAGGCGGGTCAAGAATTACGCGTAGCCTGTGGGGTACAACCTGGGGAAAGTGTGTCAGAGTAGACGAGAGGAAAAACCACTGGTCGATTGTCGAAATCGTGAATAGCCAGGGGGGGAGGAGGGGTAGGCTACGACTGTCAAGAATGGCGAGTCGGAAAATGCTGATGTGAGTGTGGGTTTGTAATCAAGGACGCGCGGCGTATTCTTGACACTACCGTGGTGAAACTAAATACATAGAAGGAATGATGTGACTAGGACGCGACGTCTAACTGTAATGCCAAGAGGTCAGATACGCACCAGGGATAGTATATAAATAAATAGAAACGGCTAAAGGATGAAGGCAGGCCAGAAGAAGTCGAGGGGTGCA